CCCCCCCCCCCCCACCCCCCCCCCCCCGCTTTGTTGAGCCGCAGAAGCACCCAATTGCAACTGAAGTTTCCGCCACATTATAACAGAAATGCAATAGGGAGGAGAGAGAGAGTATTATATTTTAATTGGAATTTGACCAGTAAAACGCGCAATCTTAAATAACTACGAGAGAGTTTTGAAATATTAAAGAAATTTTCCACGTTAGAAAGCCTACCATGAAGAGTACTTTGAAGAGCGCAAATATGAAAGCTAAAAATTATTTGCCTTCTCTAAAAAAGGGCGTTAATAACCAGTAGGAAAATGCAGTTTCCATGAAATATTTCTGCAATTTTCAATCATCTATTGACTGAAAATCGTAAAGTAGCAACCAAGACCGTAGAGATAAACAATGGAAAAAAACAAAAAATTAACATTTATTCGGAGTTCAGGAGATAATGCGCATTTATATAAAGCGATCAATTAAAGATTCATTTGCCGTTTAAATATCTTGGGAGTTGCTTGTGACTGATTTCTTCAGGAATGAGCTTAGGTTTTTGAAGACAGCACAATCATTGTCATATCATTATTAGTAAGTACGATCTCATCAACAACAACGTGTTCGTCAAAGCTGTTGTGACGTCGTCGTCGGACACCTCCCCCCCCCCCCCCCCCCCCCCCAATAAATAACCGCCACTTTCTTACCCATTTTAGCAAATTCAAGTGTCTCACGATATTATCTGGAAATACACAGGTGCGAGACTCAAATATCGCCTAATCAACGTTTACAACATACGTCTACTAGGCCTCCCTCCTCTCCAACCCCTGCCAATTCACTCCACAATCAGGTTCTACAGACAACTCCTTTGTCTACATCTTCTGCCTTCTGCTTTAAAGCCCACTCTCTGTCTACCTATCTCTCAGAGAAAGCGTAGTAAAATGTTATCATTACTAAATCCTTTACTTTACTTCTGACGCTGTTTGAAGTTTCTTATTCGGCGACTCCCTCCCCAAATTGGCCATAAAAAAGAAAATAACTACAAACCGAGCGATTCTACCAGCTAAACCAACAGAAGCTACAATGCCATCCCATCTTGCATTGTGAAAAAAATTTGAACCGCTTTGAAAATGACAACAATTAGGTAATTGCAAACCCACGATTCAGCAGAGCGTATACCTCAAGCTCTATAGAATTTTTAACTGACGGCCAACAGTCACAACAGTCCGGTAATTGAAGAATTCCTTACTTGTCAGAACCGAAAATTGAAAATTTCATTTGCCCCCTTCATTCAATGAATTCCCAATTAAAAGAGTCCATCTCCCCCCTTCTTCTTCGTTGGGGGCGGGGAGGGGGGAGGGGGGGAGGGGAGGAGGGGCGAGAGCTTTAAAATTAACATTTATCATCAAACGACGTAATGGTCCTCGTAGACAAAAAGAAAGAGGCCAATTTAATTCATAAACCCGAAATGTCAAGAGGATGCACATACAAGAGTGTTGGGTGAAGCATGAAAAGCATTCGCAAACGCTTTCAGTATCTATTCAAAGCTCTCGTTCTCAGACTTACCTCCACATGGTGCACCCTGGGCAACGTATACTAAATCGGCAGTTGACTTCTGACTCCAAACTGCCATGACCCCACTGTAAGCAATTGACTTCTGACTTCAAACTACCATCACCCCACTGTATATCATATTCGACTATTTTTACAGTACTCACCTCACCTTTGTCCATATTCGACCATTTCACAGTACTCACCTCACCTTTTTTCTTAAATTCGACCACTTCAACAGTACTCATCTTACCTTTTCTCTTCGACTTCTCACTTCAAACTACCATCACCCCACTGTATGTCAAATTCGACCCCTTCCACAGTACTCACCTCACCTTTGCTCTACTGTCGACTTCTTCCACAGTACTAACCTCACCTTTTTTCTACCTATTTCTCACTTCAAACTACCATCACCCCACTGTATGTCATATACCTCTGACTTCAAACTACCATCACCCCACTGTATGTCATATTTCACCACTTCCACAGTACTCACCTCGCCTTTTTTCTACCTTAGCCACTTTCACAGTACTCACCTCACCTTTTCTCTGTCTTTGTTCTTTCACAGTACTCATCTCACCTTTTTTCTACCCTCGACTTTGAAACACTCTTCTGTTCCCCCCCCCCTCCAGACTTTTTTCACTTTGATGTTCCTTTCCCTCTGTGAAGCCTGAGGTCAACTAAAGGGCTAATGATAACCATTAAAACGCCTGCCGTATCTATTTAAAGATCCGAATTAATCCCCAAATTGCAGTTAGTTGCATAGCACATTATTACCACTTTCCTTTGCTTTCAAGCATTTTTATATTTATCGCAAAAAATATTTTTGCATTTACGGAGACTCAAAATGTAAGATACTCGCGAAGCAATCCGTTTTCAAATATTTTAGCCTTAAGAGCGTGGATAGCATTTCAAGACACTTTCCATCAAACTGGAGACATTTCTACATAGAAATCTACTTTGTATATTTGAAGTTGTACTTTATAGATTAAGTAAAAAGCCATTTAGTAAGGAGGACATTAAATAGGCGAGAAAGGTCATTGTTTTGTGCAAAATTGATACATTCTATGGTAAATTTACAACACTATACCGAAATTCTCGATCAAATCGCAAATTGTAGCCACCAATTTCGCACGTGTACAGAATAAATCCGCACAGACACGCAAATTTCTCTCCGTGAGTTTGCGATGAGAAAAAAATGACAATAACAAGAAGCCCATGGGGCTGCTGATCTCACTTGTTGTCTCTCTTCTTTCAACATAATGAAACTATTTTTTTAAAAAAGTTGAAGCCTTGTATCCCCATGCATGAACGGACCTAAGATCCTCCATGAATAAAAATGCTTGTGAAGAATTGCTCCTCCTATTCACCCAGGGATACTTATTTCTATTTTCCATCCCTTTCTTGGTTCGTCAATTGGAACCCGTCCTCCTGTCATACAGTGTTCCCGTTTGACCTGTACTCTACCACCTAGTGATTTAGTCTACCACCATCTAACTCCTCTTTCCCATCTTGTGGTAGTGAAGTAGGTCTGTTAGGGAAAAAACAGAGCTAAACTGGCTCTCCATATTTCATGCAAGTCATTCACCAAGCCAAAGCCTTCCTTCTAGAGTTGTGTGTGTGTGTGTGTGTATGACGAAACGCCCTTTCACCACCTAATTATATAGGTTATTTTTTGAAGGACTTTCACTATAGGGACTTTGAAAAGCATATCCGATATGGCTAATAGAAAGCGGAGTAGAGTGATTGCGAGGCTTTTAGTCCCTGGTTTATAATTTTGGTCAATTATACAATTTTTGAGGAAAATAAATGATAAGAACAATAGCGCTCCCGTTTCGTTTAGGAAGAAACTTGATTGAATAATCCTCAACTTGTAGGAATCAAATTGGAACAAAAAAACTGAAAGACCCATATTGCTTTAGGTTGGATTTATAGCAAAGGTGCATTACCATATCCATCAAATTAAAACAAGAGGCAATAGCATTAGCAAGAACATTATTTAATAATTAATTAAGTGCCAGAGAAAAGTGGATAGGTCCGCTGGAGGCAAATTTATCCCAACAGCAATGTATTTTGTTTCAATAATTAATAAGCACAATCTTCCCTTGTTCCAACTTCCTACACTAATGTTGAGCAACAAAGCCAAGGAAATTAAATTCCTTATTAAAATGCTAGGCACTTTCCTTTTCTCTTGCTTAATGGTGTAAATTGTTGCCGTAGTAATTTGTCTGAGTTCTCCACCACCCAAGTAGTGGCTTTCAATGCATTTTGGATTCTCGTTCTTCTTCCCCTTAAAATGCGATTCTTGGATTTTCGCTGATTTGGGTTATTTCGGTTTAATTGTTAAAAAACTAACGTCTTAGATCTATTCTTCCCCATTAAAAAAAAATGACGCCACCGTTACAGTAAAGTTCATTCAGGTTTGGAAGGAATTTTCCCCATTCTAATCTCTTTTAAAAAAGAATACTTGTGAACCGGAGAAATCGTTGCGAATAAAGTGTGCAATAGGGTAGCCTTTGGCTTAAACCATATTCCATGAGTGAAAATATGTCCTAATAAGGTATTTTGTCAAATAAAAAGGAAACTTTCGAATATGACACAAAACTTCCCATTCACAAATAATAACCCATCCAACAAGAATATAACTAGTAGAAGAAATCGTCGCAATAAAGAAGACGCTTCACAAAGATTTTCAATTTGAAAAGAAAATGACAAACTCAGTCAGAAAAACTTCCGTCAATGTTAAGATACCGGCAACTTTATTAACAAACCAAAAGATCGTACATTCAATAAGTTTAAATAATTCGCAAGTAAACAGCTTACCAGATCCAGTAGGACCGAGAAGAATGACATTGCTCTTATCCAATCTAACCGGCTCAGCCTCTCTGGTGTCATGAATTCTTCTAGAACCACTGACCGTCGCCGAGAGAGTCGGCGGCTGTGGTTCATCCTCCTTATATATTGGTTTGATCACATTTGGAAAACCGCCTTGACTATTGCCGCCTTTGCCGGAAAGGATGGTAAACAGTTCTACAATATTTAGAAACAACAATATCTACTTGTTTTCAATTAGTAGTTAGCAATGTTTAGGGAAACACTACCTTACCAGTAACTGTGGGTCCTTTCGAATCGATTTTCCGATCGATTGGTGAACTAGTTGATGGGGGATTAGTAAATGCGGAGGGGCGAATGGGACGCTCAAAGGGATCGGGTGTGGCTGGGATAGGACTTGGATCTGAAAAAGTAGCAGTCACAGACTCAACAGTAGATGCGACTCCGCTGGTGCCTGTCCTGCAATGGGTTATATTGTGGTATATTCGATTGTAATGCGAGTATACTTGAACAGAGAGGACTTTTTTGGCATGATCTTGACCAACTACGTGGCGATTGAGGTAGTTGTGAATCTAAAAAGACAATGAAGACGAGTTGGATTGGTTTGCGAAGATGTAAATGCTGTCATGGATGGGGAGGGCGAGAGTTGAGGTTCTGGGAGATTCGCTTAAGCAAAATTCTACAAAGTGGCCTTCCCACAAGAAAGCTATTCACATGAGAGATCAGCAACCATTTCAATAACTGATAACTAGCGAAGTGAATCGGGATTATTCTCGATTCGAATATGGAGGCTGGTTAAAAAGGCAAAAATTAATTCCCGTTTACTCTAGTGACAGCAATAAAATCAAGAAATGAAAAAAAACAAACAAATTAAAGTGAAATAAGTATGCAATTAAATTGAGTAAATACAAATGCATATCACATCCAGATATGCTCCTCTAGGGAGTCGAAGGGAGCCAAGATAGGCAGTTCATGACACCACACAATAACCACACGCTAATGAAAGCACCACCTTAGCATTACCCAAGACTATTAAGTTTATTTAATCAAATAAATATCGAAAATTAAAAGAAACAAACTTCATAATATTTTAAAGCTTAGCAAATCGAAGGAATTAACTGAAAAGGAAAAACACGAACGTAATTCCAGATGTGTCAAGCTTCGAAGATTGCTAGCATTTACAAGGAGTGGTCTTTAAACACCCATAATTCGTTTCAGAGCTTATATTGAGTTAAGTTGGATAAATACGTTTCTCAAAATAATGCGTGACCTCAAAAAGCTTCAAACGAAGGTTATATTTCTGAAATTATTTGCTATTCATTAAATTAACTTACTTAATTAACCTGGTTACTTATTAGCATATTATTATCACTTGTAGGCAGAACCAAAAGCAAACCTCTGCAATTATTTGGTTTTAAGTTAACTCAAATAAAATGGCAAAATCGTTTACCCAACAAGTCATTGAGATCCTATTCAGAGAAAAATTGTGTGTCTATTCCTCCCCATAACGTGGTCATAGCCATGTCCAAACCAATAGATAATGGCAGTTAAACTTCCCTTTAAACTAGTTCAAATGATAGCCAAAAATTGAATTCAAATTAATTAGAGGAAAGGAGACTTCCAAATGAAAGATGGTGCGAATTTCAGCATAGAAAGCAACTATCAGCACCTTATTTGCAGGAAAAAATAGAACATGACTTTGGGGATATCTCCAAATGTACAACCTCGATTATACTAATGACATTTTCCCCCCAATTCCTGAACTTGCAATAACCGTGTAGTGTAGTAAAACAATGAGTCTCTATCATTGTTTTGTCATAATTCGAAAGCTTATGCTTCTCGAATGCACTTAAACTCCTTAAGGTAAGTGGGTATGACCATTTACTCATGACGTGTATCGAATATGCTCAAAGTGCAAACAACTAATTAAAAAGCAAACACCGAAAGGCAAACACAAATGCGATCATGAAAATACCTAAACACCAATGACGATAGTCATAGAAAATTTACCTTCAATTACTCGTGTTTCATCACAGTTCAAAATATATAAGGGGAGACTTATTTAGCTATAGCTATGACAATAGTAGTCGAATTTATTGCGATATATCATCAGCACTCCCTATCGTTAATTGAAGTATGCACAATTATAGAAATTTAATTAATTGTCGGAATTGAAAAGAAATTTTGGGGCAATATTCTAAATTCTGGATAAAACTTAGGAGAAATAATATGGAGGAACACGAGAAGGACGTTCTAGAATGCGTTAAATACAAGCAAAATAGGGGGGGGGGGGGGTAATTTATACATATTAACAGTTAATAGGCCAAATAATTAGTAAATGCATTAGCTACCAATAACATTTATAGAGATTGCATGGATTCTGTGGCAGCAGATACTTGCTTCGAGATGACACAACTATCATCTCAGATGGGAAAAAAACTAACAGTCAAATATCATAGACACGACCCTAGAGGTATAGTAAAAAATAGCCCAAACAAGAGATATAAGTCATTACTCAGAAGCTCAAATCCCCATGTACAATAAACCAAGCTCAGGAAACTAGCGTTTAAAAAATGCATAGCTAATATCTAATAGTAACGATGCATACCTCTTTTGGAGATGGTGGTGGTGGTGTCGTTTCTTCATCCTTCACAAAGGTCTTGACAGCTGCATGATCCACAAAGCTGTATAAGTGTTGACAAACATCACATTTTAAGAAGCGAGCCATATCTGTTAAAAGAAAGGGGGGTGTGAGCAGAAACTATGTCATGAAGAGTTAACGAGAAGCTGATTAAGACTACGATCAAATCTAAATATTGACTCGCAAGCAAGTAAAAAAAAGAGCAGTGAGAAGCCGGCATATTCAATAAAATTGAATAGAACATGTAAATCACACTTACGAGGGTTGGCAGGGTCAAGAGATCGAAGTGGTGAACCACATTTGGAACAAAGAATAGGTGGTCCTTCACTTGAACCCGTTCCTGATCCCTGATCATTGTTACCACCACCGTTAGTTGTGCTTGAAAATGTTGCAGTAGTAGAAGAATCAATTTCTGTTGGTGGTGAACCATCTGAAGTTCCATCATTACCTGTACCCAAACCCTTGCCGCCTAAATAAAAAAGTTTCATTCAACATTTAAACCGACTTTTGTATTTTTAGTGATAATAACAAACCTAGTCTTTTACATTCCGGCCGGCAGTTGCATTTGAAAGATAAAGGTCGCATATGCGTAAGAGAAATCCTCTTAGGACTGTGTAGACTGGATTGGCATAGTTCCCCTGTATACGTAATTAGGTCAAAAATTGTGCTTACAGTTTTTGTAAAAGGGAGAAACTCCAGGCAGGCGTAGTGATCTAAATAGTGACACAGCAACAAACGGCCTCATGTTTATATTTCTGGAGGAATAAAAATGAGCTTTAAGATTAAAAGCCCAAACTGTGCCTTTAAAATTTACAATTTCGAAAAACTAAAGCATATCTTGTGGTAGGTTAACAAGTAACAAGTTTCTAATAAAAACCTATAAATATTAAATTCACGAAAAACGGCAACATACGCAAAATAATATTAAATGAGCATAAATCAAATAAATTCAACCCACACAGTCAACAAAAGTGAGATAGCAGGTTCAAATGGATGCCATAAACAGGGCTTGCTAAGGTCTGTACTGATTGGATGGTCTGAGCAAACGGATAATAATTTCAATATATCCATTATTAACTTAAATAAATTAAGTTAAAGACTGTTTTAACATTAATATAGCACAATGTTGCGTAAACATTATTTTAAAATTTTGCCGCTTAGGTACTGTTCATTTTTTGCGTGATAACAATTTATGTAAAAACCTCGCTTTTCTTTATTTATTATTCCTTGCGAAAAGCTTATAACCTACTCAATTTTTCTCCCTTTTACTTAAGTTCCGGTTTTGTCGTCATAGTATACGGATATTTTTTCAAATTATTAAAAAAATATTAGCTGTTGAATATTAGTCTATATCGACGAAAGTGGAACTTTTGCCATGAGCATACTCCTCTATAAACCCAAAATGGATGAGTTTGTAATGCACAAATTCTATGATGGTCTTCATTGATAAGCCATAATGTTGTCAATCTAAGTTTGCAGATCCATATAATGATCCATTCTTTCGGAATAAATTGTCTTCGATCAATAACTTTGCATTATTTAATTTACCCTTTTGAAGTACTGCTTGTGAAGTCTTATATAGCAGTATATATGCTAGAATCAAAATTCATTGATATTTTGCCTTCTTTTAAACTCATTTTCTAAGTAAATGACTTAATAAACATATCAGTTTTTAAAAGGATTTCAAAATTATTTTGTCTTTTTCGATTAAATCGTATGGATATTCTTCGTTATTCGTTTGTTCAATTCGATTAGATAAGCCTATCCCATTGGGAAACGCAGGACTCAGGGAAGTCCTTCACTTGTGACATTTGAGCCGATCGCATTTACCACATGAGTATCCAGGTAACACATCTGAACAGTACACTTCACTTTCCTTCATGCAATATCTCTTAACTTCTCTACAAATATTTATTTGAGACTTTTAATTTTTCTAATTGATAATCTCGTCTCTAAACCAATAAGTTGTGCTTTCAAAAGTGGCACCGGTTCAAAATTTCGTTACAAAATACTACTTTCTAATTTGGATGAACTATTGAATGTATATTTCTGTGTGATCATTCATTCATTTTGGACCTCATTCTTTTATCCGTACCTATTATGCTTCGAATTGTGAACAAGATTTTATCTTATACCGATTAAGATGAAATTGAGTAATTGAACTGTATTCAGCATTCTTTTTTGTTGTATTCCATCATACATTTGTTTTGAATGAGTAAAAGTAGATAAGTCATATATTTGACTAGATGCGCTTCTATTAAAGAGAGAGCATCTAGCACAGTGAAAGCAATTAAAACAGTTATTTCTGTCAATTGTGTAAATACTCAAATTTGGTGATTGAGAAGTATGTGAAAGAGAACCAAATACTGTTCTTCGTATGGTATGCAATATAGCTTTCTTCCAAACGCCAACGGCAAGTTACGGGATGGCCAAATTTTTCGCTGTTTATGGTTTACTTAATCGTCGTCTGACCAATCGTGCTTGCCATATCGAATATAGAAATTAGATATTATTAATGATTTGTTGATTCTTCATCCAAGTGAAAACAGTTCTAGAGAACATTATATATAGTGGAAGATGGAAATGGATGCTCTTCACCTTCTCGATCTGAGCAAATCGTAGTAAAGTTAACTGAAGGTGATATCTAGCTATATCAACAGCCACAACATATACATTGCAACTACTGCTTGCATGGCAACACCAGAACGTGCCACCTCTTCTTACAGCCTCAGTATTTTAAATGTGATATAAGGAGAGCTCATATTATTATAAGATTTTATATGGGATTTAACTGAATACCTTCATTAAATTCCACAGTAGGTCTTAAATTTTGTGCGGGAGATCTTGACGGTATTTACTCCGACTAGGGTGAGTACACACATAATAAATCACCGCCATCTCCAAATTTAAGTAAATGGCCTTCTAATCTCATTTCATTATGCTCCGACACGTAATCGGTTTGAATATGTAAATATCTCGATGATAGTTACAATCGATCGTGGTGAAATGGATTGACTTATATGGTGTAATGTTACTGAAGAATTTCATTTTAAGAACTCCATCATTTCAGCGTACTTTTATTTCTGCTTTGATAGTTATATTAGATTAAATAAAAGACAACATTTTAATAGACCAATCTAGAAGCATTTGTTTAAATTCTGCCTTTTAACTGCACATTTCCTATTTTAATCAGTTCTTCACTTGCGCCTGATAACTTTCATCGCAGCTTCAATTCTGGTACATTTAAATTCATTAAAATGATTTTTTATTCAATTCTTCCAATACATTAGTCTGAACATCAAAGACCATTTTAATGAATTAACATTCAGTTTTGTAGCTTAGTTGACCAAACACCGTATGCAATAGTTATAAGAAATGTGAATTCATTTAATATCTTATGACGGATAAGGGTCGGCCCATGTGTAAATAAGAGGCGAATGATGCTTGACTAATATAAGCTGAACCAAAGTTAAGAAAGGTTTTATTAATTCACATCAACCTTACTAGAAACGGTTTTTGGAAATGCTTGCATAAAATTGCATGTTAGCGTCTCAACGTGGCTTAATCTACAAAGAGGAAACTAGAGCTACTTAGATGGCGTGTACCCACCATATTGATAAAATTATTCTGCCACTTTAGTCACAAAACTCTGTGCAAATAGAATGAGGAATTAAATTAAGTTTTGAGATGGCAAAACGTGACCCTCTGACACAGGTATAAAAATCATCTCATTTAGTCAGAACGTAAATTTCCGTAATTGCATTATGTCAATAACAAATCATATTTGATTGCTTATTTGAAATTATTTTCTCTAAGAAAGGGAGGAATAAGTTTAGCATGGAAAAATGGTTAAAATAGAATAATACTGCTTCAGTAATTTTGATCACGTAAAATTGCCTCCTTGAATGCACACAGTGGTGCTATAGTCTTCGAAATTGTCATAGATAAGCAAGACTCAATGGAACAACCTGATGTCACGAGTTAAAATCATAGTGTTGAAAGAGTCGCTTTTGTCATCTATGAGGACTTGTGATCGACGGCAATGCTTTCGAAAAAGGCAAATCAAGTTTAAGTTAGCAAAAGGCTTTGAAGATTTCTAGTCAATTAAGGAAATTAAATCACATAAATTTTGAATAAATTGAGAAAAAAAGCTATTATAATTACCTTAAATGCGGATTTAGATTTTACGGTGGTTGGTAATCTAAATGTTTTACATCAAATGAAAATTAAATCAGAAATTCGTAAATTTTGTCAAAAGAAAGTGCGCATATTTTGATGATTTTCAAATGAATTAGATTTGGAAAGAAACTTACTCATTCATTCTTTGCCTCTTGTTTAATTTTAACATCAAGGAAAAATACGTCTGCCGAAAGTCGTATATTTTATCTATGGGCGTTTACAATTCAATAAGCGTAAATGTTACTTTGTGTTTTGATACATTTGTTTATAACAAATGGCAGGCGTTTTGATAGTTATCATTAGTCCTTTAGTTGACTTCGGGCTTTGCAGAGGGGGAGAACATCAAAGTGGGAAGAATTCGGGAAGGAGAATAGAAGAGTGATTCACAGATGTAAAAGAAACAGACTGACACAAAAGCACAGAAAGGGTAAGATGAGTACTCTGGTAGAGTCGAATATGACGTACAGTGGGGGGTGATGGTAGCTTGAAGTGAGAATTCAACTGCCGGTTAATAGACCACGTGGAGGTAAGTCTATCCCACACCCCGTGTTTTGATACATAGCCTTTCGTTCACGACTGAGTTGGCTAAGAAATTTTTTTATCATCTATAAGGTGGGAACAGTAATTAGTCCAAAATGCTGCGGATATCACAAATGTAGTGGTATATAAACTTCTCCCTATTAAGGCAACAAGTTTCGCAAACGACTAGATCTCTCATCTATGATGTAAATGATCGAGATTCACTTATGGGTTTATATCCAACTTATCCTTGTCCATGTGGTCTTTTTATGAGTTTATCTATTTCTTCTTTTATCAAACACCTACACAATTACTTTTCAGCATTTTGGTTACCACGTTCCTGTCTCCTCTTGATTCTTTTCTGTTAAAATATGCTTTTACCATATTCTGTAAATGGGCAAGCAAATCCCTGAAGTTGGAAAGGGACCTCGGCTCAGTTCATTTTTAATATCTTTCTTTGGCAACTTCCAGGCCAAAGTCATTCCCACCTCAAAGTGACATGCATCTATTATTTTCTAAGTGCAAATGATACGATATGTAA